ACAGATTCCAGGTGGGGTGTCCAACAGATTCCAGGTGGAGTGTCCAATAGATTCCAGGTGTAGTGTCTAACAGATTCCAGGTGGACTGTCTAAAATATTCCAGGTGGAGTGTCCAACAGATTCCAGGTGGAGTGCCCAGAGTTCAGGTAGAGTGTCCAACAGATTCCAGGTGGAGTGTCAAACAGATTTCAGGCGGACTGTCCAACAGATTCCAGGTGGAGTGTCCAACAGATTCCAGGTGGAATGTCCAACAGATTCCAGGTGGAGTGTCCAATTGATTCCAGGTAGAGTGTCCAACAGTAGCCGGGTGGAATGTCAAACAGTATCCAGGAGGAGTGTCCAACAGGAGCCAGGTGGAGTGTCCAATAGATTCCAGGTGGAGTGTCCAACAGGAACTACGTGGAATGTCCAACAGATTCCAGGTGGAGTGTCCAAAATATTCCAGGTAGAGTGTCCAACAGATTCCAGGTGGAGTGTCCAACAGAGTCCAGGTGGAGTACACAGAGTCCAGGTAGAGTGTCCAACAGATTTCAGGTGGAATGTCCAACAGATTCCATGTTGAATGCCCAATACATTCCTGGTGGAGTGTCCAACAGATTCCAGGTGGAGTGTCCAACAGTAGCCAGGTGGAGTGTCCAACAATATCCAGGAGGAGTGTTCAACAGGTGCCAGGTGGAGTGTCCAACAGATTCCAGGTGGAGTGTCCAACAGTAGCCAGGTGGCGTGTCCAACAGTAGCCAGGAGGAGTGTCCAGCAGGAGCCAGGTGGAGTGTCTAATTGATTCCAGGTGGAGTGTCCAACAGGAACAAGGTGGAGTGTCCAACAGATTCTAGGTGGAGTGTCCAACATATTCCAGGTGGCGTGTCCAACAGATTCCAGGTGGACTGTCCAACAGATTCCTGGTGGAGTGTCCAATAGATTATAGGCGGAGTGTCTAACAGATTCCAGGTGGAGTGTCCAACAGATTCCAGGTGGAGTGTCCAACAGATTCCAGGTGGAGTGTCCAACAGATTCCAGGTGGAGTGTCCAATAGATTCCAGGTGTAGTGTCCAATTGATTCCAGGTGGAGTGTCCAACAGGAACCAGGTGGAGTGTCCAACAGATTCCAGGTGGAGTGCCCAATACATTTCAGGTGGAGTGTCCAACTGATTCCAGGTGGAGTGTCCAATAGATTTCAGGTGTAGTGTCCAACAGATTTCAGGTGGAGTATCCAACAGATTCCAGGTGGAGTGTCCAATAGATTCCAGGTGGAATGTCCAACAGATTCCAGGTGGAGTGTCCAATAAATTCCAGGTGGAATGTCCAACAGATTCCATGTGGAATGCCCAATACATTCCAGGTGGAGTGTCCAATTGATTCCAGGTGGAGGGCCCAACAGATTCCAGGTGGAGTGCCCAGATTGCAGGTGGAGTGTCCCTCAGATTTGTCCCCCAACAGTGATTGTTTTGTTGAACTTATTGACTGATTGAAAAATTTTCCATTCTCAACTTTCATTTCTCATTTCGTCGTTATTTAACCAGACAACCATAACTCATTAATGCGAATTGTTTCCTTTTTTGAAATCTGGATAAATAAAATGATTTAAGTCTGGATGACAGACTCAGTTCACAACTGAATGCTTAAATACTAGCTGAAACCTCTAATTTAAATAAATTAAATGCATCATTAAAGTTGTTGAACTGATTTAATTTCCTCTGAAGTTTCAATGTTTCACTGTTATTGAATGATTGTTCAGTTTTTATTGAAATACTTTCATCAACAAACTTACACTTTAACTCAACGTTTCTGTAACAAAATGTTAAATCCTAACAGACTTCATCCATTAAAGGATTTCTCCTGCAGCACTTTGATAAGTTAAAGGACACGAAGCCCCCGATACATCTGAGGACAAACGAGTAGTGGCAGTAAAACGATGAAAACTTTTGAGCATGAAGCATCTATGAATTATAAATTAACTCATCATTTTTTCAGCATGGGACAAACATTCTGTCATTTAGGGTGATGATGTTAAAAAAGTTCAGCTGCTCTGAAATAAGATGTTTTCGAAGAGGAGCATGAAACCTGGAAAATCTGCTCAAATGTCCATCAAAATCTGGTGAAAGCTCTCGGCTGATCTGGGTTCAGCCTTTCAGTAGTTCATGGATTGATTGGAGGCTTCCAGTCCATGTGCAGACTTTGTCTTGGTGCTGTTGAGTTCCAAAGCCTGGGCCACCTCCAGACTGATCCCGCTCTTCCGAGTCCTCCTCACTGAAACAGAGAACATCTCATCAGAACATGCAAGCTGAGTTCAGATCATTGTATCATTGGATACTGACTTCATGTAATGATTATTTTTGGAATTTACACAAAATAAACTTAAATGTTTATTCACCAAACTTTGAATTTGAATCTGTAATTTCTTTAAAACCAAGCTCGAGTAACGAGACTTTATAAAAAAACAAAACAAGATTCATTCAGTGTTTACATTTTATTCATTAATATTGATTAATTCAGCTGTGTGTTCATGTTTGCTCGTTATTCTTTCAGTTCTGTCATGAATTTTAGTTTAGTTTACACAACTTGAATAAAAAAACATCTAAATGCTCGGCTTGCTCAAACACTGCTGCCACTCTTGGTAGCAGAACGTCGATGAAATTCACAAAAACAGGCAGTATGCCGATGATGTCCGACACTGAAGGATTGAACTGTATGAGTTTGTAGGTCTCAAGATGAGTGTGTTTTTTTTTTTTTTTTTACTGGAATTGAGCAGAGTATACAAAGTAAACCTTAATGTTTTTGGTGCAAGATATTCAAGTAGGTAGAAGTTACAGAGGGCAGATTTTTTTGTTCTTGTCAGAGGCAGTGCAGAGTGATGATCCTGGTGAGTCGAGGGAACAATCTGATCCACCACCAGGAGCAGTGGTGAAGCCAGGGGGTGGCAATTGGTGGCCTTGGCTACATAGATTACTCTTCTGTCACCCCAATACTTTGAGGAAATTATACTTTTAAGCAATTGAAGTTCATTTAAGCTATAAAGCATAGTCAGGTCATCTGGATGGTTTCTATTTTTGTTGAGACGTCCGTCTTTCATCCAAAGGATTTATCAATCCGAGGAGCCACAAACAAACTCAGTCCCACAAGCAGCACACTCCCATAGTGGACCAACCAGTTTGCTGGTGATAAGATTGTTTCTGAGGCCCGCTCTCTCCCCCGTCAACTCCTACGAGGCAGCTTTGAAATCCTTTGGATGAAGGACTAAACATCTCAACAAAAAAAGAAACCATGCAGAGGACCTGACTGAACTTTGTTGGAGTTTTTAATCTGGATTATTGAGCATGACCTTTGATGATATAAAGCAGTTTCATCAAATGTTAGGGGTGACCGATTTACATATATGGAAGTGGCAAACTTAGATTTTGACCTGGCAACCCAATTTTCAAAAGGAACCATTCTTATACCTATATGTAGCCTCATACCACAACACAAGTCAGTAGTTCTTTTTTTATTTTTGTTATCGCACTCACAACATTCATTGTGCAGCAAAACTGCTGGCATAGCCCTACAGAACCTTACTGACTTACAGAACCTCACTGACCTACAGAACCTAATTGACTTACAGAACCTCACAGACTTACAGAACCTCACTGACTTACAGAACCTCACTGACCTAAAGAAACTCACTGACCTACAGAACGTCACTGACCTACAGAACCTCACTGACCTAAAGAACCTCGCTGACCTACAGAAACTCGCTGACTTACAGAAACTCGCTGACCTACAGAACCTCACTGACCTACAGAACCTCACTGAGCTAAAGAACCTCACTAACCTACAGAACCTCACTGACCTACAGAACCTCATTGACCTACAGAACCTCATTGATCTACAGAACCTCACTGACCTACAGAACCTCACTGACATGCAGAACCTCACTAACCTAAAGAACACCACTGATCTAAAGAAACTCACTGACCTATAGAACATCACTGACATACAGAACCTCACTGACATACAGAACCTCACTGAGCTAAAGAACCTCACTGAGCTAAAGAACCTC